GTGGTAATAATGTTCCTTTTTTCTTTGCAGAGAAAATGTAAATTATAAACTATTTATAGAAAATGTATTTAAGTAGGTTTTTTGTATTTGTTTTTTTTTTAATGTATAGACTACATTGAAGAAAGAGACATGGCACAGTTATAAAAGAAAGTAGATTACATTAAAAATGTCTTGCCATTTCCTGTCACTGTGTAAACTAACAGGCCGGCTGTGCGTCAGCCTGTGCTTTTAGTGGTACTTTACTAAGATCTGTAACAACTATAGCTCAGCTTTTACAATAAATTACTCTGTTGGAAAACTAAAGTGGTTTTTGTGTGCTGCGTTTGAAACTGTGGGGCTGAATGTTTCTGTGATCAATCACAGGATGTCTCTCTCCAGTCATCTTGAAATGATTTAAATCAATCTTCATTTTCATGCTAAAGCATTAAGAGACTCAAAATTAAAGTAATGTTCTTTTGTTATTCGTGTGCAAACATTTCCTGACTGTTCTCACCTTTTTATTTGTGAAGTTAGTGTCTTTCATTCAAGTATTTTTGTACCCCTTTGGTTTATTTATTACCTTGTAAACGTGCCACTAAAGCAAAGACAATCTGATCAGCTTAATTTAAATAACTCCTAAATTTTTAATGTTATTTTTAATATTCGGCTTCACCTAAAGGACAAAGAAAAATACTGTTGGACCAAAAAAGGTGAAGAAATCCAAACTGTGTCCACACATAAAGGAGCCTGTTAGAAGAAAACCTTCAATTAAAGCACAACCTGCTAGCTCAGTGTAAGCTTCCCTGAGTAAGAATTTAGTAGGTACTCAGTTTGTTTCTCATTTTATCTGCAGTCCTTATCCTCCTTTCTTATCACTGACAGCCTCCCCTAACTTTCCCATGCATTTTCTACTCTGCATGCCACCTCTGGTCACTTTCTTACCCAAATATCACCCACTGCCATTTGCTCCCTTCCTCCTCCCATGAAAAGAAAAAAAATTCCATGACGCTCAGGCACTGCTGTTTATAGCCAAACAAGGTTGTGAGAATTTTACAAGCTGTCTGTAATCCAGCATCCAAAAGAGGGCAATCAGGTGTCTGCACAAAATGTGCTGAATAAATACACAGAAACAAAGAATCATCCTGTGGGTGTGAAGGCTAGATTTATGGAAAAGTACGCACATAAACCTTTGTGAGTCCTCAGTGTACTGTGAGTAATTTGCTTGCTGTTCATAAAAATATGTTGAACGCAAAGCGGTTGACATATTTTCACTTCTGGTTCCTCCTTCGAACAAGAAAGTTAAAGGTACTGATCTGCACTATTTGACTTGAACACACTTTATATATAAGCTTTGAATCGCCACAGATAACACGTTCTACAACTTGCAGCTGAGGTAAAAGACAGAAGACAGATTCTGCTGAAATGTGAGTGGAAATATATACAGGATTACTAATAAGGCCATAGGAATAGATCGCACCTCTGATCTCTGAATGTACTCGAAGCAGTCTGGCCATTCTCCTCTGACCTCTGGCCTCAACAAAGCATTTTAACCTAGAGAAGTGAAGTTCACTAGATTTGTTCTCTTTTTCAGACCTATTTTCTGTAAACTCTGTCACCAGTTTAACTTAGATGTTGAAATGCATTGAGTTGCAGTCATGATCAGATATTTACACAAGACAAACAGCTGAACAATAGTCGAAAACGCACACACAAATAAAGTGTCCGCATGTGTGCAAGTTATTAGTTAAGAGACAAAGGTTTAGACATTTCCGCTTCAGCTCTGTGTGTTATTATTTAGAGGGGACACGATTACTGTCATCGCAGCTATAAAACTAAGAACACAGAAGCCCCGCCCACCTACTGTTTAATCCTTGTGAGAGGCATCCAGCTGACAGAAAGTTGGCTCAAAGGTAGGTGAAGTGAGCTAAAACAGGATGTTTTACACAGAGGATAAACTGAGGGGTTGTATTAAAATGGCCCATTATTGGACAAATAAGCCTTTGAAAACTTCCTCCACTTACATCAAAAAAGTCTCACAAATATGACAGCTGTTCTCGAAAGATAATGTAGAAGAAAAAGGAAGTGTTTTTCACACGCCATCTACCGGGGCACACTGCACCCGGGCAGTTTTTTGTTGTACTTTACAACCTCCCAATAAAAAGCCACATTAAAACTGTGTATTTAATCCTGCCCACAAAGATAAACTTTAAATTTAACCAACAAGATTTTCCATATTAGTTCTGTGCACGTGCTCTTACCAAAAACTCTGACAGGTTTTGAACAAGGCCAAGAGTCTGGAGCCTTGAAAATGGGATAGAGAAGTAATAACAATAATGATAATACATTTTATTTTAGGCGCCTTTCAAAACACTCAAGGTCACCTTACACAGAAGACTGACGTCACAGTGTTGATCTATTGATGATGATGATATTGAAAAGTCCATGTTAACCAAGGTTAATATTTAACATTATAGCATAATAATCATTCTTTAGCATGTTATATTTCCAACATTTATTAATAGAACAAACCCAGAGTAAGGCCACATTTGGTAGTAAAATTGGGATATTGACTCGATGAAAGCAAATTAAAAAAAAAAAAAGTATTTCAGGTATGCCAGCATTATTTTTCTAAGAATGAATGTGTTATTTCATGGATCTGTTGTCTGGAAACCATAGAAGTAAATTTCGCAGTAATCCACTGCTGTTTAGAGATTTCAGTATAAACCAAGTGAGCTGGCATTACAATCCAAAAGGCTTATCTTATAAACTACAGGAAGCAGTTTTATCCAAATGATCTCAGGCCTGTTACAGCCTGTGTACGACTCAATCTACTGTCTCAGTGTTACAGGGTTTCTCCTCTTTGAGAGCCTGACAGTCCAAGAGAAAACAGCGAGTGAAGAACACAAAGCATGAAGAGGTGGAATAACGCAAAGAGACAGAGACAAGTGCTCTAGAGGCTGATGTGCCTGTCGCAGGACTGTCCTGAGAGCAGTTTATGTAAGAGGCTGTAAAATACATGAAGTTCACAGGCAGGTGGTTGCTGTTAGTTCCTGTAATAAACATCAAATTGTGAACTCCCTGTTCCTGTTCAGGGAGCAGCATAGTTCCCTTTTTGCACAGTCACCCTGGATGAGTTACAACGCCCTCTGCTGACATCTCATCTAATGGACTGACTGCAAATCTGATGAGTGCATGGCATGCTGCAGTAGTGTCTGTCTGCAATTTCAGTCTGTTGTTCGGTGGTCGGCAGGCGAGTTTTGTAGATATAAATCAGGTTATTGATTTATGTAACGCCAGATCCCAACAGTCGCCTCAAGGCGCTTTATGCCTAAGTTAAAGAGGCCACAATAATAGAGACGTTTAATTGTCGTGCAATTAAAATGCTATGATGCTTATATAAAATGATAAGTGTATAAATGCTAAAAAAAAAGGGTCATTTTCACATGTCGGTGGGTGTTTGTTAGGTAAAATAAAATTTAATCTAGATAAGGTTTAAAATTAGTTGCCATGACTATTGCTGAAGTCTTGTAGTTTGCAGAGAAGCAGACAGAAATTTGGTGGATTACAGTAGGATGCTATAATCTGAGCATCATCTGATTGCTGACCGAGTAAATTAATTATAAAATGTTCCTATTAAATATCTTGTTTGTGTTACAAAATCAAATCTTAAAATCAAAGGCTTGTTTTTTTTTCGTGTCTTTCACGTAATTGGTTTTTGGACCATTGTTGTTCAAGACAAAAAGTTAAAGCTGTGGTTTTAACCTTTTTGTTTTAAGGGAAAAATCCCCAAAGGTTTTACTAATGCTAAAATTCAGCTTGTATCCGTTTCTATTGTTAATGACTCACAAAATGGTGAATTACTTAATGGTCAACGTGACAAGAGTTAAATAACATTAATCAGTCATATATCTTTTGAAAGTTAATGGATTAAAATAATATTTGCAGCCTAATTTTGAATGATAGTGAACTCAGGCAAGTAGTTTGAGGAACTCTGTGTCAGCAGGGAGTGGTTTCCTGGTTCAGGTGTATGAAGGAGAGGGTGTGATGGGAGCACTGCCAGCTGAGGAGAGGCACAGCTGTCTCGCATAGCTAATTAACCTCGCAGTCAGAGTTTTCAGAACAGCCAGCGCTCCACGGCCGGGCACGTGAAGTGGAGCAAACAGAAGTGTGTACCTGTGAGTTATAGTCACATAACTGTGAGTACAAACCACAACATGACATTCATTTTTACTACGCGAGTAGCTGCACCCAAGAGCTCGAAGTTTGTCGTTGAAAAAGTGTGACGTCCAAAACCAGAAACACTGACAAAACCCTCTATCCCTTCATCCATCTAAAGGTCTGAATTTAATTCTTTCATGTGAGTATAACAGCAAAAAAATGCATCTGTTGGTTTTGATAACAGTTTTAATATAAAGCATAACAAAGAGCAAAGGGTTTATGGGAAGAGTTTCATGGAAAATCTAACAGAGAGGACGAGTCAGGCAGGCTTCGAACGTCTGACATTAAAGCACAAACCTGAGAAAAGTTTGAATGAATTTGAATGAAAAACCTTTGTCAGAGTGAATGGGGGTAATGAGCATCTTGTGCTTGTAAGGTTTCAGTACTGAGATGACACGAACCCCAGTTCGACATGAGAAGCAAAAACAAACAGGAAGTCAGAGCAGATCTGCACTTATGCAGGTAACTGTAAGAGCAAAGCCACGTGGTTTTAGATGACGACTCAGCCATTTAAGAGCTTGGTGGCGATCGTGGCTCAACAGTTGGGAGTTCGCCTTGTAATCGGAAGGTTGCCGATTCGAGCCCCAGCTTGGACAGTCTCGGTCGTTGTGTCCTTGGGCAAGACACTTCACCCGTTGCTTGGTGGTGGTCAGAGGGCCCGGTGGCACCAGTGTTCGGCAGCCTCGCCTCTGTCAGTGCACCCCAGGGTGGCTGTGGCTACAATGTAGCTGCCATCACCAGTGTGTGATTGGATGGGTGGATGACTGGTTGTGTAAAGCGCTTTGGGATCCTTAGGGACTAGTAAAGCGCTATACAAATACAGGCCATTTACCATTTAAGAGCTTGGTTTTCCTTTTCCATTTTTTTGGATTTCTAGCTTTGGAAGGGTTTCACAAACGTGTGAACGAGGGTGCAGTTCAGTTTCACATTTTGATCATTTTAAGTACTTAAAAAGAAGCAAACATGTTGATATCCAGATGGATTTTGCATAGTAAAATATGCATTAATATACAAAGTTGTTCAGTAATGCCATATGGTTAAAAAAAAAATCCCACTGGAAAAAAAAGCTGCCGTCCACTGAATATTTGATTCTCAGACCGTCGTCTTTCACCTCGACCACTCGCACCACCTCAGCTGTAGGTGTGAATGATTCGGTGTCGCTTTAAATGATGCATGAGGATGAAGGTTTTCCCGCACTGTGAGCAGCTGTATGGTCGTTCCCCGCTGTGCGTCCGCTGGTGAACCCTCAGGCTGCTCTGCTGCGTGAACCTCTTCCCGCACTGTCCGCAACCGTACGGCTTCTCTCCCGTGTGAGTCCGGTGGTGTATGCTGAGGTGCGACGAGCACTGGAAACTCTTCCCGCACACCGTGCACCAAAACGCTCGCTTTCTCTTGTGGCTCTGCTGGTGCAGCTTGAACTGGTGGAGGCGGCTGAACGACTTTCCGCACTGCGAGCACCCGTAGCATCGGGCCGTCCCAGAGAGGGGTTTGTGTAGGCTGTGAGGGTTAAAGCTGCTCGGTGTGAACGTGTTGTGCGACTGAGTTACAACTGGTCCGTCTCGAGTTGCGGTCTCCCTCTCAGGGTCTTCCTCTAGCTGGCTCAGGTGAGTGGAGTGTGACGCGTTTCTCTGCGGGTAAATTAGTTCCTTCTGCTTGTCTTGCTGCAATAACGGAGCCTGCGACCTAGGCTGGAAATCTGACGACTGTGGAACGTCCTTCTGATATTCGCTGTTGTAAATCCCATTGCAAAGCCTCTGAGAAGGCAACTGCTGGACGTTAGTCGACTTGCTCAGGTTAGAAGCTACATTTGGATCTGAATGGTCCGGGTACGTGTTGGAATACTCCTCTACTACACTAGAGAAGTCAGGGAACCCAGTGTCAATGTCATTACCTTCAATTATGGACGACCAAATTTGATTCTCCCTTTCATCCAATGAAAATTCAGCAGCAAGTTGCGTCTGCTTCCCCACATTGTGCTGGCACCCATCCTGTCTGAATGCCAGTCGATCTTCTTCCTTCTCTGTCTTCACTGTGAACTGAAGACTACCGATGTCTACTGCACGCTGGGCAGAGTTAAACGAGTCACTGAACTCTGATGGCTTCTGTCTGGCAACCTCTGGATGGGTTAACTGGTGGCCCTCTTCAAACTGCTGGTTCTCTGGAGCACTAGCAGCGTTAGGGTACTGAACAGCAGAACCTGCAGGTGACAGGTGTTAGGAGACTTCAGGTAAGGGTGTGAAGTTCAATTAAGGTTTAATTCTTGCACAAAACCTAGGTCTTCAACTCACCAATTGGTCCAGCAGAATCACTGATCCATAGAGCCTCATCTGGACTTTCTTCTTTAATTGTGAAGGAAACAGTTGCATCTTCAATCTCAGGAAACTACACAAAAAGGGCATGGATTACCTTATTTGTTTTTCAACTTGAGAACTTCTAAGATATATGTTAATAATATAGAGATTGCAACACCAGAATCTGCCAAATTAAGTTTTATATTTCACTTCTTTTAGCTTTGTTTTCCCCTCTACAAACAACTTACTAATTATTAATCCACCCTTTTCATAACACAGCTACCTGCCATAAATAGAAACACCTATGGGAGTGGTGTCACACAAACAAAGCCTCAGCAATGAAACCAAAACTATAAGATTAAGAGGTGACATTTCCGCAGCGAGGTGACATTTATCATATAACTGACACTATTAGATTAACACACAGGTTTTTGATCCACTTTTTGAACTAGTTTATCACCAGTGTCAGCTGCCCATTTTTCCCCCCATTTTTCTTTTACAATTTGTGAAAAAATATATACAACCACTAAAAGTTTCTGGATTTTTTTTGTTTAGAAAGGCAAACTTTTAATTCTTTTGGAAAACAAAATAAAGATGACGCTTTAAGATAAAGTTACCATTTCAATCATTTACAGTACAAAAACAGCAACAGCAATTACTTTAACTGGTGTGTGAAGGCCTAGCAGAAATACAGTGAGGTCCTTCTGAGCCTCTGATTATGGGGAACTGTGCATAAAAATGCCCATAATTCCTGAAAGGTTAATGTAACAGTTTTGTTAAACCCCTTCAATTAAAGGCTGAAAGTCTGCGCTTTCACCACATCTCGATTGTTTGATCTAAAATCCACTGTACTGGTGTACAAAACTACACATCTTATATCCACGTCCAAACACTGTAACTTTTTGTAGGCTTTTCGGAAGTGTTCATCAGTCTGGGTGTGAAAATTTCTGATCACTCTAACATGAAAGATTTTTGAGAATCCCCTCAATGCAAACTCAACAGATGACCTCACATTATATCTAAGCAGTTTTTAATATGAAGTAGAACTCACAAGTAAATAAATGACTATAAGGGACCTTCTGCAGAGGCAGCGAAACAGCGCAAAACCACAACACTTCCACCACTAAACTTCACAGATGGTGAACAGTTTTTCTCATGAAAAGCCATCTTTTGTCTGCACCAAACATGTCTACTGTTACTCCAGCCATACAGCTCTACTGTTTCTTTATTTTTCTGATGCTAACACTTTGACACTAACAGCTAAAGAATAAATGAACAAATGCTCAAGTTTTTTGCAAGACTTCTTGTTGCATCAGTCAATCTGCCCCTGGGTTGAACTGACCTTCCACGTGTGGGGGATTTTATCTCATATCATTTGGGGATATGTTTGAATTCCCATGCTCACAGGCAATACACGTTTTCTTGTTTTATTTGTTTATTTATTTATTTTTAAATGAACACAATCTTCAGATATTGTCTTGATGACAACCACAAACTTCAACAGCAAAGAGAACAGCAGAGCACAAACCTCACAGCTTTCAGCTGTCACTGTTAAAGGAAGCTCAAATCGCAGACGCCTAACCTGGACCTGATTTTAAGTCTAGGTGTGTGACACAGAGGGGGTAACAAAATAACTCGAGATGCAAATCTTACCCCATCGTAACCACCATGAAAGACCTACAGGTGCTATTTTGAAGGATTATTGAAATAACTTTAATTTAACAAGGAATAAAATTAACAGTTTGTTGACTTTTCTTCAAAACATTTTTTATCCTTCAATCACCATTCTTGCTGTTACAAAGTTATCCCTTAGATGTCACTTCATGGTTGTTTAAAGGCCAGGTCTCCCTTTTAAAACATCTAAATTAAGCGGAGTTACTTTTTCCATGTAGCTGGTATGTTTTTAAACTGTGTAAACATTGAAACTTGCAGCAACATATTCATTTTATGTATGACTTCTCTAAAAACAAAAAAGTTTGTTTTGTTTGGGTTTTTTTTTTAAAAGAGCAAATGTTGTCCAAAAGGCAACAATTATTAGAGCATGTAGTAAACACAGACCTTCATATCTCTTGCAGGGTGCGGACAGTTGCTCCCCACATCAGTTCCTCTGTCCATGTAGTTTTCTGGTTGCAGAAGGGAAGAAAAATCTCAATTTGAAAGCTCGGGCAGAGGAAAATTAGATATTATTTGGAGGGGGAGTAAAATACCTCGAAATTCATTTACAAAAATAAGCAGAGGTTTACATAAAACACACCAGCGGTGGCTTTTTAAATCAAATTCTTCCTGCGTTTGGTTCTACTTCTACATTTAGATGCACAACACACTGAGTTGTCAGTTGGCACAAACAGTGATGGAAATCTTACCGAATCCTCGCTGCAGCTGCGCATTTTTGCTCTCCATCACCAGCAGTTTCCTCTTCAGCATCTCGTTCTCGCTCTGCTTTCGGGATATTTCAAGATGCAGAAACGCACATTTGTCATCGACTAGTTTGGATATCTCTGCCACTGCTGCCTTCACCAGAACCTCCATTATTGAGGATAACTGTGTTTGAAAGGGAATGCACGTCGCCATGTTGACTCATTCAAAGTAATATATGCCAGGTAAATTAGAAGAATTAGTAAGTGCTTCCAAGTAGTGGTTTAAAAAATGTGAAAAGAAGCGACGCAGTAGAAAATTTTTACATCCCTGTGAGCATCATGCTAGCTGAAACCTTTCTTCCGTGTGGCGGAGGGCTTTACCATAAATACACGAATAGAGGCGCGGTGGAATAACAGGTACGAGGCCTTCATCCTTCTGAGTCATCACCCATGGGTGTTAAATTTGAGCTAAAACTGCACGCAGAAAGGAAATTGTGGGTTAGGAAATGAGATAAAGATCAATAACCAGCTCAAAGATTAGTTTAGATTCTTGTTGTATTTTATTGGGAAATATGCCACATGGTCTCAGAAAACAAGTCAGATTGTACTTACAAATACTAATTGCAGTAGTAGTAAAAACTAAAGAAAGATAGAAAAAATGTTTGAATAAAGAAAGTTCAGGAAATGTGTGCAAATGGAACAACAGACCTTCTCTTTGGGACTCCAGGACATCAGTAAAAAATTTAGAAAATACAAGAAAACATACGTGGATACCTTAATCTAGTTCATTTGCTTTTATATGAATTTGTTTGGAGACCTTTTTTCTGTGTAAGAAGAACCTGTGAAATAGATCTCTTGGTACAAATGAGTACCAGACCAATCATACCTCTAGACTAAACCCTTAACATATTTTTGACGGGTGTGTTATCCTTCTGGAAGCAGCCATCGGTAGATGGGTGCACTGTGGTCATAAAGGGATGAGCAAGCAACAACACTCAGATAGACTGTGGTGTTTAAAGAAAGCTCAATTGGTACCAAGGTGCCCGAACTGTGCCAAGGAAAGATCGACCACACTGCTACACCACCAGCAGCACTCCGAACCCCGATTTTTCCTCAGATTGTGACCCTAAAATCTGATTGTTGCAACAGAAATCAAGACTCATCCCTCATATTGTACAGTTTTGGTGAGCCTGTGTGAACTGTATCCTCAGTTTCTTGTTCTTAGCTGCCAGCACCCAGTGTGCTGTTTACAAAAAAGTTTGAAACACACAAAACAGATTTGAGAAAGCTAAATCCAGCCACTCGTGGTGCGTCACAATTAATACCAACTTTCATTGAGACCATCTTTCACTGTCAGTTTAAAGACATTGTGGAATTGTGCCTTTACCACTGCCCTCGACTCAGAATGAAGCAGACACCAACTTCGAAGAACCAAAAGAAACACGTGCGCATTGTCACAGGGCATTTGTGGCAAGCAAAATTTAAAATGTTTATGGCTTGGTGCCACAGTTGATTGTCTCTAGAAGTAATAACTCCATAACAGTATCTCACAAGCCTTAATGTGATAACTAAAAACTCCACCTATTCATCCAAATGTGCCCACGGCAGGATCTTAAGAAACACAACATGGCAACAACCAAAATGCCATTATTGGGGTTCAAGATCAGGGTTTTACAAACAGATCATGGTAGTCACGGTAACATCGCCCATGTTTTAAATCTTCTCATTTTAATCTCAAATACACAACTGAATTTAATTACTCTCTTATTACTTATTACTAAGCTTATTACTCCCCACAAACATGCTACACATAGAAACTGCATAGTGATGAGTCAAATGTCCTCCAGAACTAAGGGTGGATGCTGGCATGAGATGTCAGAGAGAAAGATTCTTTACACTTAAATAGACTTGGTGCGATGTGATGTCTGCCTCAACTAACTCACAGGCTTTGCTCATCAGCCATTCATCTTCCCAAGTCACACACTGGCCCACTTTAGAATATGCAGTTACTGTAACAGACGTATCCAGGGATCCTAAAAATTATAAACTAGTGAGTTAGCATCTTAGTAATTGAAAAAAAAAGAAAAGAAAAAAAACGTAATGTCAAAGGTCCCATCTGTGATTTTAGAACTTATACATTGTGTAAGTTAGGCTCCTTCAAGGATCCCTACAGGGTCCCAGTTTTACATTTTTTCCAAGAATATGGAAAAACTGGAAGACTAGGAGGAAGGTAGGAGATGTAACAGAATGGAGAGAAGGAAGAAATCAGCATTTGAAAGATTTAACATTTAGCAATTACTTAGACTGATCAATACGAAAAGAATCCACAACTCAAACACAGAATTTTCCATTTATTAGAAAATACAAATAAAGAAAATTATATTTTGTTATTCACATATTACGTATCCTTGAATATGTAATCCAACTTCATGTACAAAGTGAATTTAAATCTTTCCACAACGGCCTTGGGTTTCAGCAATTGTTGATCAGCAGCCTTGTGTAATAAACCTCTGTACTAAAGTAAACAGAAAACACTTCATATAAGGAAGGGGGGAAATTATAAGAGGTTTACTTTGTGATGCACTTTTGAGAGGCATCGACACTGCAGTGGCAGGTTAGGAATTTCATTTCCATGGAAAAAAAAAAAAAAAAAAAAAAAAAAAAAAAAAAAACCAGAAGCACTCATATGATACAAGAAATAGTTTTGTGACACCTGCCTCAGACAGTCTCTCTGTTGGCTTGGTCGGTGCTATTTTAATGGCCTCTTTAAGTCCATCTGACAATTCAGGACACTGTTGTCTATATAAAATACTCAACACTGCTTTAGTAACTAGTTTCTGGATTATGTCTTTGACCCAGGTCATAAATAAAAATACATTTCACACAAATATCATCGTGGGTAGGTATAGGTAGTCAAACAAACAAAGAGAAACTTCAAAGTCTTTGACCATTTGAAATTCTTGATAGTCACCATAGATGTAAATGAGGTATTTAATGCACAACCTTCTCTTTGATTCTTCATCATTAACACTCATCCTTTAATTTCTTCAAGGAAATTTTTTTTGGTTAGTGGAAAATGTCACATAATTGAAATCTTGGCTCGACTGGAAAGTTAAAGACTATCCAGCTGTAATTTGTCTTGTTTAAGACCAAACTTGCAGAATGTGGCACTACAGTGCAAGCACAAATTTCATGTAACTTTAGAAGATACTGTGATTTGAGGTTCAGTGCGCAGCCCATAAGAGGACAGAAATAAAATGCTGCAAAGCAACTATTTGAATGTCTTCAACTAAATTTAAAACTTACCTTACAGTAACTTCTACAACAGTTAAACTCTGTGTGGGTGAACTACACACCAGCCCATATCTTAAAATCTATTTTACTGATGCAAAATTAAATTATTTTACTTTAACAGCATTGGCATGATGTCTCAACCAAAGTTTAGAAAAACTGGTCCAGTATACTTGCTTCGTTATATATGCTATAGTATGGAACAGCAAATAAAAAAGCAGAACGCTAAATTTCAATGTAATGTGTTAAAATAATGCATACACTTGTACCAATAAAAACAATCAAATATTTTCGAATTGATATGTGATAATGAGAAATGAAATCTATGTTTGTAACTATTTTCTCTATCTTTTAAAAATGTAATTCAAATGTAAAAGGACACATAAGAAGCAGTGCCCTTTAAAATTCTATTAATATGTCATATGGGTTGAGGTAATGGTTGATTACAGGACTGTACTGGCTACTATAATAAAATAAAGTACTTTTGACACAAAATAAATGTCTTTGAGTAGTTTAGATTTTTTTTAAAAATTGAAGTTCTGCACTTAAATAACAGAAAAAGCTTTTAGTTAGTAGCTTGCAAATATCAAACATTTGTTTTTGGCCTGTTACTTTAAAAAAAAAAAAAGTTAGTAACACATAAACGAATGACAAGTCTGAGTAAATGCTCCGTTTACAGACAAGAACATCTGACAGCTTCTAATGTTTCTCACCTACAGAGACATAATGGATTCATTTGTGCAAAAACGCTCCTGTTTTTCTGAATCAGTGAGACCAGTCCATGCACATGCAGCACTGTTTGTTCTGTCTGTGCTGCTGGTTAACTCAGGCACCAGATTTTGTTTAGATGCTAAAATCGGTAATTTTAGCCCATTAAAAGGTGGTTTTCTAGGCTTATATAATTCACCTTTATGAAAATAAGTGTTGCAGGTGCATAAATGCTAAAAATGAGTTGTTTGTGCCAACCAAAGAAACATATTTCACGTAAGATCTCAAAAGAACACGAAAGCTTGATTTCTTGAGTAGTAATGATAATTCCTGACTCCCCACTTAGTGTTACACAGTTAGAAATGAGCTTCCTATGAAGGGTGGCTGTCCTCTCGGGTGAGAATTTCAGCCATCTGGGAGGGGCTCAGAGTAGAGCCGCTGCTCCTCCACATGGAAAGGAGCCAGTTGAGGTGATTCGGGCATCTGACAAGGATGCCTCCTGGGCGCCTCCTGGGCGAGGTGTTCAGGGCATGTCCCACCGGGAGGAGGCCCCAGGGCAGACCCAGGACATGCTGGAGAGAATATATCTCTTGGCTGGCCTGGGAACGCCTTGGTGTTCCCCCAGACAAGCTGGAGGAGATAGCTGGGGAGAGGGAGGTCTGGGCTTCTCTGCTTAGGCTGCCGCCCCCATGATCCTGCAGCTGATAAGCAGAAGAAGATGGATGGATGGATTTACTTTTGCTCACATTTAAAACTTTGGGAGATACTGCTATTTTTGTATGTTGATGTTTAAGAGATCCCAGAAAAACACTTAAATATACAGCAAACAGTTTGTACTGTTATCAACTATATGACTCAAAGACTCTCTCCTCTTTTACGATTTTAAGATCTCAAGTTTTTCTTTGGATTTCCAAGATAATTATTGTAATTCAGAAAAAAAAACAGGTGTATTTTTGTTCTTGTCAAGTGAATGCATCACACTTCCATACTCTCAACTTTGTTTCTCTCCTCATATTAATTACACTATTGTGAAAGGCACTCAAGAGCCCAGCACAGAACAATACAGAGCAAGTAAAGAGCAGTTGTGTTGCAGAGCAATTACACTCCTCAATCAATTCAAAAACAGATGAAGTGGTTCGAAGCACCAGGAAAACATTTCTGTGAGCACTTAAAAATATCACAGAAGTCAGATGGATCAGTCATTTTTGTGCTTGAAAAAAAAAAAAAACCTACCTCAAGATTTTGTTCTTCAGATTCAGCCTTTGAGAGTTTTACTACAAGTGTTTATATAAATAATATGAATAACTGTACTTGTGTGCTATGCTTACATATTTTTGTATATTTCAGT